ATAAGGATTTTTTTTAAATGTCTTACAACCTATGGCCTAGGCAGTCCAACAATGGCTGTCTAAGATGGTCCAAGAATCCAGTAGTTGTTCAGTCCATGATGCTGTATATCTCAGCTGGTCTTCAGTATACACCAGAATCCTGAAGAAGTAGTCTCAAATATCAGTGAAGGAATAGACTTGCCTGAGAGCACCAAAGAGAGCAAGTACAGAGAATAAGCTTCATTCTTCCATGTGCTTTACACAGGCTGCTAGCAAAAGGTGTGGCCCAGATTAAAAGTTGGTATTCCCACTTCAAATAATTGAGAAAAAAATCCCTCACAGGTGTACCCAGCCACTTGTGTATTAGTTAATTCCAGATGTAGTCAAGCAGATAACTAAAAAGAGCCATCATGAATACACGTATCCAGGGAAGAGATTATGAAGAGACATGAAGGCCAAGAAAACTATTCTAGGTACTGAGGAATGACCGAATGAAGGAATATATAATTAGAGCTAGGACAGCAAGTTCACTGCCAATCATTATAAAAATCAGACTGAAGGGAGTAAGATTAATAAAAGAAAATGAGTTTCGAAGTCCAACCTAGGAATTCCAGGCTCAAGTGGAGAAGAAATGAGAAACATCATTACTAGTCTCTGTCACTAGTTTTCTGTTCTTACATTTCCTTTTTTGCTATTCTGGAATCCCTGAGTCAAATCTCATGGGAGAAGAAACTGCCTTTTCCCATCACCAGTGAGGCATCCCAGTCACTGCTTGTGTGGGAATCATTGTAGTGGGACCACCAGCCCGCAAATAATGACATGGAGACTTATTAATTATGAAGCTTGGCCTTAGCTTCTGCTTGGTACTTACTAGTTCTTATAACTAAAATTAACCCATGTTTTAAAATCTACATTCTTCCACATAGCTTGTGACCTCATCTCTGTACTACCCATCCTACTTCCTCCATATTGGGCTGGTGAGGCTGCCTTTCTTCTTGTAGTTCTGTCTGCCTGGCAGTCCCACCTATACTGTCTTGCCTAGCTATTGGCTGTCTAGCTTTTTATTACACCAAAGACAGTAATCCATCCTCACACAGAGTATAAATATTACACAACATTGCCACATTTTGTCTAAATAAAAGGAAAGATTTTAACTCTAACATAGTAAAACTATATACAATAAGAAAAATTATCATTCACAATGTTCAGTCCATTTGGATTTGGAATATTTGGAGAAAATACCCTATTTCTGTTTTCTATCTTGAGGAATTTAAAATTTTATACCCAAACCACTTTTTATCATAACTTGTATTACCATTTTAAAAATGTCTTTTTGATCTCAAAACATTTTCCTAGATAAATAAATAAACTTTCATGTCTCTAAACCTTCATAAAATTTACATATCTTTTTAAAGTTCCTTTTTGAATTTGGTAACAAAGAAAATGGTATTAACTATCCAGTCTTCAACCCTCATCAAAGACTGAAGAAGGATAAAATATTACCTGAGTAAACAGGAAGTACAGAGCAAACAACTTCCAAAAGTATAGAAAGGACAGAGATTTATGGCTGTCGGTAAAGTCACACAAGTTTTCTCTGCAATATTGGGGCATCCATCTTCAACCTTCAGACCTTGAATATATGACAGACTTTTCTGTGAAGCAAGAATTTTGGAAAACTATCCTACCTTGTCTTGGCAAAGTTTGGCAATCACCTTATTTTATGTCCTGCTTGTCCAATTTGGATAGCATATTGTCATCAGTCAAGGTAAAGGCAGTTTCTTGCCCAGTGGCTAACTTTGCCACAATGAAAGCAAACTCATGTGGAGGTTCTTCAATGCCCAACATATTTTTAAAGGTAAATTGGTGCTGCCAGGAGCAGATGTGTCTCACTTTTATGAAAAGCCTTATGTTATTAAACATCTTAAATGTCATATTCTGTAGGTCTCTAAAAAGTTTGAAGACCATTTATCTAAAATATATCTCTGTTTGACCCAGAAAGCATACCTAACATGGCCACAGATTTGATTGTTAGATGACATAATAACCTGTATTTCTTAATTATTCTAAATAGTTTATAATAATAACTTTCAAGGAATAGAAATTTGCATTACATTGTTAAATGAACTGCATAGGTACAATACCTTAAGTAACATTAATTAATTAAAAAAACAATGATGCAGATATCTCTGAGGTTTAACCATGTCCTTTTTTTCCAAGGGAAGAAGCGATGCTGTCTACCTACTTTGAAACCATCAATGACTTGCTGTCCTCCTTTGGTCCAGTCCGTGACTGCTCAAGGAACAACGGAGGCTGCACTCGTAATTTCAAGTGTGTGTCTGACCGCCAGGTGGATTCCTCAGGTTGTGTGGTGAGTGCTCCTTGACCCAGGAGGTTTTCACATACAGGGGACCCCTCTCTGCAAGAGGACATGGGTAAAAGAGGATCACACTGCCTAAAGCTACTGCCTCTGTATCTCTCCAGATACCAGGCTTCTGGGGTTTCCTCTTTTGTGAAGTGGGGTCACTAAAGTTACCCCTTGGGACTATTAGGAAAATACAATGAGGTAGTATAACGTAAGTGTCCTTCTGGGCAGGTTTTGGATTCTAGAAGCTCGCAGTGATTCTGATATTAAAACACAACCTGTTTTAGTTCTGTGAACACAATGTAGGTAGATGAATGTCAAAAAGATGAAAACAGTACCCAGTATAGATTCTTTGGTGTGATTTAGAAGATGTGCCAGCTGAGACCCAAGGCTGGTATTAGGCTTCCTTGGGAAGTTGGTAGTAGGCATGGCTTTGAAAGCATAGATCATTTTGGTATTAAGAATAATGGTGCAGATTGCCAAAACAAGGGGTGAGAGAAAAGGGGGGACCTTGTCTATCATGGGATGCTAATATCTAGTATGGAATAACACCAGAAAAGATAAGTGAAGATCTTTGTTGCCTATGAAGAAGCATTCTGAAATTGATGGTTTGTTTTTTAAGACTATCCTTAGGGTAGTTGTCCAAATTTTAAGTTCCAAAGCTACAACTATAAAGGAGGTGATGTCTCATGAAGTTTAAAATTTAACAGGTAAACGTGTGCACTTATGCATATGTGTGTGTGTGTGTGTGTGTTGAAGTGGGCGGAGTCCAAACATATGCTTGAAAAGCATTGAAATTGCTGGAAAGGCTCAGCCTGGTATTCAGTGCACTTCATTTGGCTCCTTCCCAAGTCCTCCTTGCACATCGCTCATCACTTGACTTCATTCCACACTAGAGCCAAATGGACCTGATTAGATGCTATTCTTTGAACATTCTGCTTGTTTAATGCTTCTTGCCCTTCACTTACAGTCAATTTCTCTGCCAGCCTTTGGAACAAATAAGTGGACATGCTTTTAGATCTTTGTCCTCTCTGAAGCCACCCCCCTCCCACCTGGGAAGTGGTAGTGATGTTGCTATTGTCTGTACTTACCTTTTTTACATCACCTGGAATATATTATAGTGCAGACTGGCTTTTCTCAAACAATAAGCTGAGTGAGAACTCAGAAAATGTGTTGACTCAACTCAGTATACCAGCAATATTCATTTTAGTAAGAACAGGAAGCAGAAAGAGGCAGGGTCAGTGATGGGAGTCACTGTTCTAGACCAAGTTCTCCAAATGAGATGCAAGAAAGATGGAATACACAGTTGACACATCCCTATAGCAGTGAAGAAATAGCCAAAGCTTACGAGATCAGTAAAAGAAGTTTCTAGAATATGAGAGGATGCACTGAAACTGTATTTTAGATTCAGAAATCAACAGGAGTTTCTTAGGAGCTGGGTGAAGAGTTTAGCTGCTTCAGTTTTCAGGTTTATAAGTGACAGAAAGTTGACACAGACTATTTCAGGCAAAAAGTAAAAATTAATAGCCATAGGTAATGTTCAGGTACACTTAGCTTAAGAGGGATGAATCAGACCTTTGCTAGTCAATCCTGGGGTAAAGGGGATCAGCCTGACTCATCTCCAAATAAGTCATGTGGAGAATGTTAGCCAGAGGCAGCCCGATTTGAATGAAACATGTAGTTCAAATAGATACAGATATAGACTCCCAAGGAAATGTGAGTCCCAGAAACTAGAAGGGTAGTTGTGGATGCTGTGCTGGTCTATGTGCTACAAATCTGATTCAGAACACCATAGACAACCCTTCCCTCTCCATACTGGAAAAGTGAGACCCAGGAAGGAAGAGGGAGATTTGCTCATCTTGTATAGCAGATCAGTGGACAAGTAATTCCAGTGAATTTTCCAAATTTGTGTCTCCAAACCATGATAGTAACTTTTATGAAGAGCTTACCATCATCTCACTTTCTTCAAATACCTAACTTCATTTTCCATAAAGATCGATGTATCTGAGAAATAAAACCCAGGATGCAGAATGGGGGTGAACCTCCATGAGTTTAGTGCGGTATGATGTGGTGTGCATGTCTGGGAGTAGGGTGTCTCTTCTTTCTGTTCATTAACATAAGCTAGAAATATAAGAGGATAAAAGGCATTTTCTGTAAGTTAAGAGAAGCTTCAATAATCTTGTAAGTTTTCAGACTTTCCCTCTATAGTAAGAGGATACTATTTAAAACTTTCCAGTACAATGGATGTTAGGCAAACTCTGCTTCATGGAATAGATAGTATAATACCCCATTAGGCTGAGGCTCAAAATGTGTTTTATTTCTCATGCCTCTTCTCCTAAGAAACTTCATCTGGTGTTAAAATTAATCACACCGTGTGTGTGTGTGTGTGTGTGTGTGTGTGTGTGTGTGTGTGTTCACATGTATGGAGGTGCATACGTGTGTGCTTGTATGAAATTTGAGGGGACAATCTCTAGTGTCATTCCTCAGGCTCACCCACCTTTCATTTTTCTTTTAAGGTAGCATCTCTCATTGGCCTAAGCCTAGTAGGCTAGGCTGGCTGGCCAGCAACCCTGGGCATCTGCAAGTCTTTGACTCTACCACACTGAGATCACAAGCACAGGCCAACAACACATCCCCCTCCCCCTTTTAAAATATGGCTTCTGGGCATCAAACTCAGTTCCTCATACTTGCAATATAAGCACTTCAACAACTGGCCTGTCTCCCCAGTACCATTATACTTTACATTAAAATAAGCAAATAAACAAACAACCCCTTACACTGAAGTGCAACATGGGTGTTTCCTCATGGATGAGTCTGTGGAGAATAGAGTGACTTCCTGAGGTCTTACCACCAGATGGCAGGATAGAGGACCAAGAACACATCTTCAATATCCTCCTAGAGCCAATACCATTTGGAGTTATTTTCCTGCCAATCTGAGAGGAGTGAGATGGGTTGACCTGAATGAGATGGATTTTGGTCATGATTTGATCGTTGGCTAGCTGTGGAATCAACACTGGTCTCTCAGTTTCTTAATACTTCCAAATGGAACAACAGTCCTTCAAAGCACAGATTTCCTGCAGGATGAAAGAACATAGCAGAGGGCTGGGAGATTGCTCAGCAGCTAAAGAGTTTGGTGTGCAAGCAAGAGGACCAGAGGTCTGATCCCCAGAAACCACACTAATGCTGAGTGGGTATGGCAGCCTACCTGTAATTACAGCATCAGAAGGCAGACACATGAGATTCTGGGAGCAAGCTTGCTATCAACACTAGCTGTAAGCTCAGTAAGCTCTGAGTTTGACTAAGAAACCCTGCCTCAAAGACTAAGGTTAAAAAAAGAACAATAGAAGAAGATTCTTGATATCAACTTTAGTGCCCCACATGCACATGTCCCCGCACACACATGTACTCACACATATGCAAACATGCATATATACATGCACACGCACTATATACTCAAATACATGATAAAAAAGAAAAATGAAACAAATAGATGGACAATATTGTGGATATGCAAAACACCACTTCTGTATGAGACAAGACTGTATTAATAATGCTTGTACATAGACTATATACTATTGGGACTACAGAAATTTATGAGCACCTGAATTGAGGAGAGCCCTCTATGATGTTTCTGAAACTTATTGTCATATTTTGACCTGCTATGCCTATTGGGAGTAGAAAATGAATTCTTGTCAATTCTGGTCTTTTCCCTCGCACTTCTTTTTAAACAATCGTAAGGGGTCATGAGGATGTGAGGTGTTGTTCTGTCACCTCTCATTGATACCTGCTACCTCTTCTGACACTATCCATCTTTCTCTTTCATTTTGATACATACAAGAACCTCTATGCTCCCACCTGATTCACAGACATGTGATCTATATTGGTATGAGCTGTTTGGTATTCTTCATCTCACTGTGAGGTCATATAATACCTGAGGGGTCTATCCATGCAATATTTTTCCCTACCCCACTAGTATATAAGAAACTTTCACGCATCCACTAGCTTTCACACTCCATCCTTATATGAGAAAGGCTGTCCAAAGCTCCCTTGTTCTATATTTGCCATGAAGGCATTTGTAGTGACTGGTTTTCATAAAAGTGAGTTCAATTTACCATTTCTGCCATTAACAAGAAATATTTAGACCTACCATTGCCAGGAAGGGAAGCAAAGCCTCCCGTTGCCACCTGACGCGTGTGTTTCCAGAGTTTGAGTCCAGGACTTATATTTGCTAAGTGAGCACTCCACCATTGAAGGATAATCCCCAAACACAGCACTTGATTTTATAACAGTCCTTTATCCCCTTTATCCACTTATGTGTTTAGCCTGATAGGAACAAAGCATCAAGTCTCATTTCAGGAAAATTGCTAGCAATTACAAGCTTCTCTTACTGACTTGCAACATTCTTTCCCAACTCATATGATCTGTACGTCTTCATAGTGAGTAGGAGGAAGTATATGTGTATAATACAGCACAGGTCCTTTTCTTGCTTCCTTGTTTAATTTGGCTTTATGACGATGATTGATTGATATGTTTGTATACCACAAACACAAAATGACCTAAAATTGTGACTGGTGACTCTCAGGTGACCATCATCATCAGGGCAGAAAAATATATCCTTCTAACAATGAATATACCGTACTTTGTGAAATCAATGAGCATGACATGATACCTTACAACATGAAGGGAGTTTGTGTGTGGAATTAGCATTAGTGATTGACTGACTGACATTCAAAGGTGGCTTTTGTCATGAATTCTCAGGGCACACCCAGGACTATGGCTGAGGAATCTTGAAATAAGACTAAAGCAAATATCTGTGTGGTTGGGACAGAGTGGTGCTAGCTATAACTATGGAAAAGAGGGTTGATAGTTAAGGACTGCATCAAGGAGAAGGCATCTGTAGAAGCTATAGAATCTAGAACAGTCACACCTACCACCACCAGAAACACTTCCTGGCTGCCCCTATGTTTGCAGCCCGGTGAGCCCCCCACACACTTTCAACCTCTAGC